ACATTAAGTGGTTCATATTGTTTCTCTCATGTGCATAGATCTCAGTCACAGTTTTCACTTCATTATTCTCCGTGTTTAGTCGAAGTAGGCACGATCAAATGAGATGGAGAGAGTAATGTTTACAGTGCCACACTTGTCACTTGTCTTGTTTATTGTAAGAATCAAGAGATAAGTCCATGATAAAAAATATCCTTCTGGAGTTTTAGATGTTACCTCTAGATACCTGCAGTTCGGCACTGCAGAGAGCACTCACGCCTTTTGACTACAGTAGTAGTCACCGCTTCTGAACTGAAATCTGGATGCACAATATGCTTCATATCGAAATAAATAACATTAAACTATGTTTGTGGTATTTGAAACAAGAACATCTATATGTAATGGATATGATTATCAAGGTTGCGCAAATAAAACTGTCAGCTTCTTGTATGTTTATAATGTGTGCACTTTGTCTTGAATCTTGATTAAGTAGCACTTTGATGTTTTACTGCATCGTCCACATGTATAAGCTTTGCTGATTTAGCAGTCCTGTCCAAAGAATAAAATAGTGAGGAAAGTGGTTTTAGATAAGGAAAATAATAGGGGAAAAAAATTGAATTGTTCATGCCATTATTCCTAGTATGCGAGAAGTAGGTATCCACTAGCATGAAAGTGAGGTTATATAGCTCAAAAGTCAGACTGGCTATGCTATATGGACCGGAGTGCTAGGTGGTGAAGAAAAATCCATGTTCATGAACTTAATGCGGCTGAGATGAGGATGATGCGATGGATGTCTGGGCTGACGAGGTTCGATAGGATTTGAAACAAGGTTATTCAGGGACGAGTGGGAGTGGCACCTGGGAAGGATAAGCTGCAGGAAGCTAGTTCAGACTGAGGTGGTTTGGGCACGCGAAGCGAAGAAGTGTAGAGGCCCAATGCGGAGATGCGAAAGGCTTATGATAGTGTGTGGGAGTGGGGGCATGGGTAGACCTAGGAAGAATTGGAAGAGGTGTTTAGACTAGACTTGAGACTCTTTGACCGTATTGAGCATATGATTTTAGATAGGAACGTCTGAAAATTTAGGACTAGAGTAGTTGGGTAGTCTTCTAGGCCTTGGTTGTAGCATTTGTGCGGCTGCATTTTTGCTCTTGTCTTTTTGTACTTCTGTGCTTGGGGTCTGGTTGCTAGTGTCGGTTTGTGTGCTTGTCTCTGTACGCTACTTTTGCCCTTAGTTTGCTCTTTGCTACTACTTTGTTGAGTTTGTTCGTGCTTTTATGTCTACTTTGTTGCTTTACTTTGGTTGTGCTTAAGTCGAGGGGTAAGGTTTGTGTACACACACCCTCCCCAGACCCTACTTTTTTGTGGGATTTTACTGGGCTTGTTTGTTTTTACATTCACCATGATGAATTTGCAGTGGAATTTGACCATAGTGGAAGTTACATTGCCTTGGGAGGTTCAGATATAAGGTAAAGAGTTAAAGCAATGTCAAGTGCATTTTCTTGTGTTTTTTTCCCCTGAGTGATGAAATTTTAGAAAAGAAAAATAAAAGAGCACGCTGCTTCTCTTGATCCAAACTGTTCGAACAGCATCAGAGTTGAGATCCAACAAGCAATTGATTAGGGCTGATCGTGCTTGTTGGATATGAACCATCCAACCTTGATCTCAGACAGTTTGGCACACTTGGGAGCTAATATATATCAATGTTTGCTTTTCTGGCAGAGTATATCAAGTTGCAAGTGTTAAGTCAGAATGGAGTCACATCAAGACATTCCCTGATTTGTCAGGCACAGGTCTCTCTCTCTCTCTGCCTTATTCCTTTTGTATCCATAATAATTCCGATGTCCTCTTCGCTAGAGGATGATGACAATTGACAACTCCTATTTCTCTATGTACAGGCAAAGCCACATGTCTAAAGTTTGGTCCGGATGCTAAGTACATTGCAGTAGGATCAATGGATCGAAACCTCAGACTATTTGGGCTGCCCGATCAGCCTGAAGAGGACTAATTCCCCGTTTCGCTCTAGCATTGTTGAGGCTAATAGATGTATACATAGCTACTGCTATACTCGCAGGTATGGTGAAGAGTTTTTGGGTGCTTTGCTTATCTTTCGGTATCTGCCCAAAACGGCCCTGGTTAGGTTAGTGCTCAAAACCTTAAGTGCACCTTGCCCACTCCAAGAGTTAGACATCTTTTTGTATTGTAGCATCTTTTGCATCACACAGATGTAACAACCATTGTTGGTTGGGAATAGTACTGCAAGGACAATGGTGGTAATTTTACAAAGATGGTGTACAACATGAGGTAGTAAGTTATGATGGTTTCATTTTTAAACTATGAATTTTTCCTGGACAATCACAGCACTCCATTCTCACATTTTCTTAAACTTGGGATATGAAGTGATTAGCTATGTTTCTTGAGAAATATTATACTGTACTCTAAGGGGCTGTTTGTTTCAACCTCTTAATGGTTCAGATGTCTGAATGATTCAGCACTTAATGGTTCAGACTGTTTGTTTCAGCCTCTTAATGGTTCAGATGTCTGAATGGTTAAGAGATTTGCCTCTGAATGGTTAAGTATTATACAGAGTTTGAATGGTTAAGAGCTCTTATCTGAATTGATCAAACATTTGCCTCTGAATAGTTAAACAATATACTAGCTCTTAATGGTTCAGACCTCTTACTGGTTCAGCACTTAATGGTTCAGACCTCTTACTGGTTCAGCACTTACCCATTCAGAAGTTACCAAACAGCCCCTAAGATTCTATGTACATACTACCTCCGTCCCATTTTATAACGCCTGTTTCGGTTTACGATGTTTGACTGAAATTATTTTCAAACCATTTTATATGACAAATGGTATAGAATTAAAAAATAAAAATTACATATTAAAAAACTACATCAAAAGATCTACAAAACTAGTAGTGACAATAATATTTTATTTTATCAAATTGCTAACGAAAATAGAGAAAGACAAAAAAATGGTTAAAGTTATCATGTGAATAGTGAACAAACCGTTTAAATATAACAGAGTATAATTTTAACACCGCTAATGCTTTAGTGTAAAGGAGTGCCATTTTTTACCTCATCAAGTGAATAAAATATTTTAAATAATTAAGGAATAAAAATATAAATATACAAATAATAATTTTGTGTCAAAGTGTTTGTGGTTCTAACATTATTATATTCTGCCTTAATTGGAAGTTGATGGTTTAGTGCAATGGAGTAATATTTTAGAGAAGAGATGGGGCCTAGTTTTTTCCCCTTAATTAAAAAATTGTTAACTGCTATGGTACAATCCACGTAATTTTTTGTGGACTTTACATGTGATGATGATAAGCCTTTTTTTTATTTGCAAAAAATAAAAGAATAAAAGATGCTTATGAAAGTCCAAAAAAGTTGTGTTGTCCTTAGGTTTATCAAAGAAGCACTCCTAGTAACATACACCGAATTTTGTTTCATACTTAATATTTTATTCTTGCATTTCTAATTACCTTTGACACAATTTTCAAGCTCTAAATTGTGTCCCTATTTTTATTCAATCTCCAATTTTTAAATTTCCTTGGAATATAATATGCTAAATTTGAAATTTAGGGATGTAATTTGATGAAGGACACAATTTAAGACATTGAAATTGTGTCTAAGTTAATTAGAAATGTAAGACTACGCCGTTGAATACGAAATAAATGTACTATTTCAACAAATTAAGTCTTACTTACGTTTGATGATCATTTTCAAAATAAAATATTTTGTAAGGATGAATTAAACACAAATCTTTACAGGAGCCAAAACAAAAATCAGACTCGAATTAAGAATCTGCAGTTTCGTAATTGATATTTAGAGATTAGAGTTTGAAGTCTGAAATCAAATAGGTACGAATAGAATGTAAAATTGAAAAGAACTTGTTTGGGCAAACTGTTATACTTGTGAGAAGTAGGGCATATGGCATTCATATATGTTGATTTTTATTCCACATTTTCTTTAAGTTCCAACCTCCTATTTTACCACCTTGGGACTTCAATCTTCCAATTCTAACATTTATATTTTAGTTCTTAGAACATGTTCATTTCAACTCATTTTTATTAAATCAAATCAAATTAGAACTTATTCCAATCAAATCAGGTGAAGAAAACAAACCCCTAGTCTCTTAATTTCATATTTTAGTTAAAATTGACGTGGTAATGACTATATGTAATGTAAGAGCATCTTTAATATAAAATTTTTAAGGAGTTGCTTCACCTATAAAAGGTGATGTGGAGCTTATATGGTGTACATGTAGAGCAACAATTGCTTCATATCTTAGTTAAAAACCTTCTCTAAGCAACTCCACTAAAGATGCTTTAATCATATTAGAAAAAAGTTAAATTAAAATATATTCCGTATTTATGGTTTTGTATAAAAAAAATGTAGGAGTATTAATTTGTATAGTTGAGTTCGAGTATACGTTGTGCTCCGTATTTGTCTATGTATCAAATTGAATATATACATCTTCGTGCTTGTATTTGTTTTGCTTTCAAATACTAATATGTATTTATATTCACATTCATATTTGTTTTTGCAAATACAAATCAATATTTGTGAATGCGAATCACAAATCGAATCAAAGCCTATCAGCTTCATTTACATCCCTACTCTAATTGTAACCATGAATGTAGCAAAAGTTAATATCTTGGAGAGAAATATGTGGGCAGTCATGTGGCCAAATGGACCAACTAAGGTTTCAACCAAAATACCAAATGAACCAAAGTGGTAAGGAGTACAAGGAAAGAAAGAAAGAATGGAAGAGTTTGAACTCTAGAATGTAAACTATGATCATTAAGCAATTACACATCAAAGATGTTCCAAATGATCTAATGCAAAGAATGATCTTGTTTCCACATTTCACTCAAAAAAAAAATTAATAAAAAATAGAAAAACATCTTCAACTTCAGATAAAATGAGGTTAAATGCATTAAATATCCAACATCGCTCGTGTCTGTAAAATTGTAAAAAATATATGCAAGGGATCAGGTAAGCCATGGAAATACCCAACCACATAATACCATGTCGATGGTGATCAAACTATATGTATGATCAAACCTGTACAATATGTACGATACATCATAAATACATGGTTATGTCGTTAGATATGACATTGCCTGTTTAAAAAGTCATTAGTTGATAAATATGGGGACTTAAATGCTGCTCATCGTGTTAGTGTTTATGTAACCTTTTAAGTGAAAGGCAAATGCCACCTGGGAATGATGTTTCATTGTGCCTCACCATATGTGTGCCACCCAAGGTTCACGCTATACCAGTTCTGGAGGCATGCAATGGCATCAAACAAGGTAACGAGATGCATGTTTAAAACCCCATAGCTGCAAATGGATACAATGTGTGTGGGGGGGGGGAGACTTGACGTTTAGATAACCAGTATAACCGAAGGACTACAAGAGTAATTCCCCCGACAAGAAAAAATGAGCAGAAATAATACCTCAACATTCTTTAATTCAAATTCTTGATTATGGGCTAAGCATGAGTTCCCAAAAGTTTCAGAAGGCCCGCTGCTGCCAGACAACCTTAATCAAAGAAACGGGCATGAATTATTGTGTTATAGTGACATCAATAGATTGTCAAAGCTTTAACGACAGTTATTAGGGAGCAAAACCTACAGATCACCATCCATGCTTAAAGCAAAATGTTCTCCCCCTCCAAAAGCAAGTTGCTCGTTCGTACACAAAAAGAAGTACCGATTGGCACCTAACCAAGAAATCAAGAAAAGCTATTATGATTATATGAAGTGAAACTCGGTTATACCTCACTCAAGAGTAGGGTATGGATGGAAAAATTTACGCAGACCTTAACTCTACACTCCAAGAAGTAGAGAGGTTTTTTTTCCGAGAGGGTCCACGAGAAACAGTGGCCCATATTGTAAGGAGTGGAAAAAATACACAAAACCATTACAAGGACTCTAAAACCCTAATAGGCTACCTCCAGAACCTCCTATTAAGGATCATGTCTTCAAGGTTAGATTTAACTTGGTCACATTAGAAATATATAAAGTTTTCCCTATAGAAATATTTGTGTTGCTATATCAATGCAACCACTCCTGCTCCATTAATGAGAGCCATGGGGTTGTTCCTTGGATCTTGCCGTTCTCCATAGAACCAAACAATTTCTATCTACTTTCATACAAGCACTTGCTTCAAGTAATCTGTAATACACTTCCATTAGAATGTAAAATTTTTCCTATAATCTTAGTAACTCAATCCATGATGTCACGGTCTCACGGAAGATCACTTACGCATTGCATGTCTTTTATCAATTCCTAGTTACCCCTTCACATAAACTGATATCAAAGCACACTGTAGTAAATTCTTACCAGTTGCTCTAAACAGCCTCGGCTCACCATATATAGTTGTAAACACAAACGTTTGATTTGTCCCCTATCAGACATTATGAAATCAGAGGTGAATCATTTGTGCTTAGAGGATACAATGTGTGGTAATATGAAGGAGTGAATACCTGATATTTTGCCTTTGCAGTGGGTGTCAGCGGTGCATCAAGCAATCCACCAAACACAGCACCTTCCTTGTCACCCGTAATCTGTATTGAACAGTTACATGTCGATGTGAAAATTCTGATTCACAAGGGAACCTAAAATTCTTATAAAGCATGCATATGGATGTGAAAACCTACTAGCAAACATGGACCAGAAGCATCAGTGCTCTTGTGAATGAGTGTACGTAGTGAAACACCATCTCTATTCGTGCTGCCAATCATACAGATGATAAGAAACAACAACAACCCACTAAGGTCCCACAAGTTGGGTCTGGGGAGGGTGAGTGTAAGCACACCTTACCTCTACCTAAAAAAGGTAGAGAGGCTGTTTCATAAAGACCCTCACATGATTAGAAACCACAGAGCAGATAAAAATTAACCAAAAGGCTCCATTGCGGCAGACTAAAATTCTAGATAAAAGTTACCTGTACAACAAGATCCATTGACACCCTTTGACTATATTAGGAAGGGATGCTTGGAGAAACTCATACAAGTTTGGAGTAACAAAAAGAGACTCTTGACTGAGATTAGGCATGGCTTCAAAGTCAAATCCATGAGCATCCTCAAAAACTTCATAACCACTAGCAACACTCCTTGCAGAGTTAGGTTCGATGTTTTCTGCGCGTCCATTCATTAAACAGATCCTATTAAATTCGCTCACCCCATTTCCACTACGAGAGTATGGGGTGTCTTCGTAATCCTCCTCAAAGTCACAATCATCAAATCTCTCCAAAGGTCTGTCTTCCAATTTAAAACTTCTACTTCTCCACGTAAAAGAAGGAGACTGGACTGGCGTTCTATCATGCTGGTCATTCGACCTATCAAAACTCGATGATGGAAGCACAAAGGAAAGTATGGAAGATAAAGACTTCCCGTCTTTAGAATCTGGCCCGGCCTACCAATGAAGAACATCAATGTCACAAAATTAACTCCTACACCGAGTATAAAGTAACAGCCGGAGCGTAACTCCTACAATGTTGTAATGTTATGCAGAAAAAGTCAATGAAGAAAAACACCCCCACCCTAAACCCTAAAAAAATGTTTTTTTTTGAAGCAATTAAGTGAAATAAAAAGAAATCCAAGTACATTGCGGATAACACTATAAGATCAAAGCAGAATATCAATGAAATACGAAATCCATACACAAGAAAGCACAAAAGTATAGGCGACAGACAGAAACATGTGCAGATATTAGCAAGATTTACCACAGGTTGATTGTCTACAGATTGAATTGGAGAATCAGAGAAGAGACGCGAAAGGGTCTCTGAAACTCGATCTTTTATGGAATACATTTCTTCTTTGTTCCCCTTCTTTCTTCGCTTCACCGCCCTCTCTGGCTTGTGTGATTCGTAATGTAGAATATAATAGAAATGGAAATGAAAATATGGATCTCCAGAGTGAATAAAGAATGCTGAGATTCAGAATCACATTCGGCAGATTTTGAAAGAAAAGAGAGGTGTTCATCCCATGGCGGGTTAAGAGAGAGAAAGATTTAAGAGAACGGGCTGAAAAGTTTTTGTTTTTGTTTGACTACCGACTAAAACTTCAATCACAAAAAAGGCATCCCAAAAATGAGAACGTTTGTTTTTTTATAATTTTTTTTGAATAAAAGGAAAAAATATCACATTACTCAAATTTACAGGCCAAATAGCTCCGGTGCCGCCTCTGGTTTGAAAAAATGGCACCAATATCTCCTCTATTTTTAAAATTTATTTTTAAAGTCCTCGTGGTTTCAAAACGTTGCACCCGCACCTCCTCTATTCATTTTCCGGTCATTTTCTGGTAAAAAGGGGGCATTGGCGCATTATTTCTAAACCATAAGGGGTACTCGTGCTCATTTCTTATTTTTTGTTTATTATTTGAGTTTTCTCTTTTTTCAAATATTTTCTATCTATTTTTCGTTTTCCTAAATTTTTTTTTTAAAAAAAAATTTTCAATTTTTTTTATAATGTTTTAACAATTTCAGAATTCTTTGTGTTTGAAATAATAAAAAACAACATACAGTACATCTATCTCTGATTAAACATTTTCACTTTTTTGTTACCTAGAATAATTTTTTGGAAAGCTAAAAAAGAAAACCCAGAATAAAAAAATAAAAATATGGAAAAACAAAAAATGAAAAAAATTAAAATACGCAAAAAAGAGTCTTATCCAAAAAATAATTTTTGGACACACCTAAAAAAGTCCTTAAAATTGAGATGTCCAAAACTAATATTCATTTTTATTTTTGTACTATTTTGTTTATTATTTTATTCCTCATTTTTTTGAAGCTCAAAATTTTTTTTACTTTTTTTCGGAAAAAAAGGTTGTTAATTTGAGACGTACAGATACATTATATGTTAATTTTTTCAAACAAAAATAACTTTAAATTTTAAGAACATTATAAAAATGGTTTTAAAACCCCTTTATTAGTAAATGAAAAATGGAAAAAACAAAAAATAAGCAAGAAATAAACCACGGATGTTACTGACACTATTGCAACGTTTTGAAAACACAAAGACTTTAGAAATAAGTTTTGAAAACAGGAGGGGTATTGGTGTTTATTTTGCAAACCACGGATGTTACTGACACTATTTGGCCTAAATTTACAATGGTGGAAAGAGGAATCGTCGTGCCGTAAAGAGAGATGAGATGTGCTACGAGAACCATTGCGGGGCCTAGGGTTATAAGGAGTGCTATATGTGTAATGTTGTGTATCTACTACACAGGGTAATTTCTAATTCCAAAATTGACCACATGGTTGTTTTACTTTTATCTTAAAATAAAGAGTGAATTCCAGAAACGGTCCTTTGATTTTTAATAAGGTGTTTTTCCAAATTAATCTTCAATAAGTAATAATTGGTCCTTTGTAATTGAGATGTATTCTCTAAATAGTCATCTATCAAAAATGTTAATTAAATATCAGTGAAATAGAAGATATTTTGGTATTTTTTATCATCTAGACTTAAAATATATTCTCGAAATGTTTCTTTATAATTAAGTAATTTTTAAACTGATAATTTCTAAATAAATGTTTTCTCAAAATGATGTCCATGAGTCTACTTAGAATAGGTCTGTTCCTCTATAGTAGTCCAAACTATTTATAAATAGTTTCTATGTTTATAAATTATTTATAAATAGTTTTTAACTTATAAGCCAGCTGATGACATGTTTCTGTGTGCTTATAAGTCAGAAAAAATAAGTAGGTTTTAGCCACTTATTTTTCAGCAAGTTTTTTTGTTTCTTCATTTTGACGAGATTATTTTTAAAATTATCTCTCACAATTTATAAATATTTACAAATAATTTATCTATCATTTAAGTCATTATACTTCTACGAAATAATATTCGATTTATAAGTAGCTTATACGTTAAAACCCGCTTATCAGTAATAAGTCAATAAACACCAGCAAAGAAAAAAAACAAATTAATTTAAAAGAATCATTTTGATGACTTATTTATAATTTAGATAATGAAAAATACATAAACATCGTCTATTTAATTGTCACTAAATAGATATTTTTGACAAAAGACTATTATTAAAATATATCTTAATTATTTATTGAGAACTAAATTAGAAAAAAACACTAAAGTAAAGAAATAAAACAAAAAAAATTATTACATGTATGCCGTAAAAGATCTTTGGGAGTCCCTTTAGCGTCTCATCTCTGATTTTCTCCAATTCAATCATCGAACTGAGGTAAATCTTGCTCATATATCTGTTTGACGCCTATATATTTTTGTGCTTTCTTTGCTTCTTCATTATATGAACTTCTTAATTCACGTATAATCTGCTTTGGCGTCTACATCTTGAGCTATGTGGCTTAGTTTTGATTCCATTTAATTGCCACAAAAAAAAAAATCATTTTTAGGGTTTTTGTGGGGGTGTGGTTCTTCATGGTCCTTTTTTCTCAATTTCTGCATTACATTTGATGGGTATATTGGGACTGACCCAAATATGTGGCAGTGAATTTGGTCCAATTTACCTCTCTCCATTCTACAATTCATATTTTATTCATGCTTAAGCCACCAAAGATCAAACACTTCGTAAGAGGATGTAACCCTGCCGCGTGATATAGGTCGGGCTAACCCAACCATTCCAATTGTTGCGATGATTTATTTGATCCCTGTAAGTTCAGCTATAACTAGGAAATATGAATCAAATTAGTTCTTTCTGCACAATTTATCTTCTAAAATCCCAAGTTAACACGTTAACTGACACAAATCATTGCTCTTGCGCCAATGAACTTGATAACCCAGAGTTTTGGGAGATAAATTCCGTTCGAAGGGCTAACTTGATTCACATTATCTACTGGATCCAAATTTAGTCATGAGTACACTTAGAGGGACCAAAATGAGTATCAGACATCCGGAATCCTCATATAGGAAATGGGGTGGGGTGAGTGGATTTAATAGGATATGTTTTATGAATGCAAATCTGCAAGGAGTGTCTGGTAGTAGTGGTTATGAAGTTTTTGAGGATGCCCATGGAGTTTACTTTGAACCCATGCCTAATCTCAGTCAAGAATCTCTCTTTGTTACTTCTATGAGTCTCTCCAAACATAACTAAAGGGTGCCAATGGATCTTTCTGTATATGTATCTTTTATCTAAATTCTTAAAGTCTGCTGTAAAGGGGCCTTTTTGTATATTTTTTTCCTCTACTGGTCCATGTTTGCTAGTAGGTTTTCACATCCATATGCTTTTTTTTAAAAAAAAAAACAAAGAACTTTAGCTTCCCTTTTGAATGGGAGTTTAGAGTTTTCACATAGACATATAAATTGTCCAGAACACATTGATGATCATCACTCATTGAGCAAAAATCATTTTATTCAACAGTAATGTACAAGAAGCGATCCACAGCCGAAGACGACTCCAGATGCCATTATAGCAGTCTGAGAGACATATCCCGAGATGTGGCCACTGTCCTTCCTCAAGAACATCCCTTCAAGCAAATGGTAGTTCACAACTACCCCATAGAATGAGAGAGCCGCTTGGGCGAGCAACAATCCGTCCCCACCGTTGCGAAACATCCTCCACATTCCCAAAACCGAGCAAGCCAGGTTGAGAATGTAAATGCTGCACAGTGGAACAAGCAACATGGGCGATGCTCGGAAATCATACATGCCACGCTCATAGAGCAACGCTTGTTCATCATCAGCACCTGCCTTGTTTGTCACATTGAAATTTGCTTCGTGCATGCCGAATTTGTCCAAGACAGAGTTCACAAGCGCGTAAAGGTAGCCCGTCCCAGACTTCATCATCCAGACCCTCACCTCGTACACTGCATTCCTCAACGAACGGTCTTCGTACGCAAAGACCTCCTGCACGTGCTTGAGATGTGATGCGACGAAAACGTAAGCAAACGCGAAGAAAAATGGATCCGAGACATTGGGATAGAGAGGAATGCTGTAAAGGAGACAGATGGGGGGAATTATGGATAAACCATAGAAGGGGAAAGTGTAGAGACAGTTTAACACAAGGGCACCATAACACATGCTTTGAAGGACTGACATCCTTAATGGTCCGTAGATGAGAGGGGTAAACCTCGACAGACCAATTTGCATCAGTCCAAATGACCAACGCGTCTGTTGAACTAACATATCATTCAGGTTCGTAGTGGAAGTGCCTAAGAAACATGGCCTTCTGTCAGGGTCATCGATTGCCACGGAAACCCACCCGTTGCAATGCAATTGAAGGCTTGTTAAACCATCCTCCACAACAGTGCCATATCGGAACCCAACCTGCCATTTAATAAAACAGAGACCATATTAGAAGAAGATAAGCGATCGGGTTTCATGTATCCATTGTAAAGACTCGCCTGTTTTCCCCATTGCGTGCCAGCGTCATAAGTAAAAGAGGCCAGCAATTGAAGCTCCTTCTGCAATGCACCAGAGGGCTTTCTGTCTTCAGCCAATTTTTGCTTGTAACAGTGTTTGTGCCTAGCAGCTTCAATGAACTCATTGCTCGATCCAAACAGCTCCTTAAGCTCGTTGAGATCGTCACCTGCAAGACAGATAATAAGGTCCAATGATGTTTTTTTTCATGTCACGGGAATATACATAAAAATCAACCCCAAGTACCCATCCGAATGTTCTTGGCTCCATGGATTGCTTCTCTCTTCATGAAAAAATTGCAGCCATATAAGACAGGTCCTCTAAGCCCATCAAAGCCTTGCCCTTCTCTCTGTGCATTTTTTTCGTGTGTGGGAAATGAATGAATTTGGCACAATCAGGATTTGATCAAGAGTAAACAAAAACATACCAAATTGGGGTTAAGCCTTCCATCATAGAGATCGCGTTCGGTGGCATTGTGAAATTGCTGAGGGAATTGAACCCAAGCGATTTCTGAAGAAGACACTTTACGATCAAGATAAAAACACATAGCCTGGCAAGCAGAGGAAGGGTCGTTGCAGTACATGTCACAATCCAACACCAGAAAGTAGGGAGCATTGCTTATTACCGCAGACACTCGGAGCTACACACAAATAAGGACTGTGAATGGCTCAACTATTAAGCAGTTCCATGGAAGATTAATTAAGAAACTCTATTAATAACTTACTAGAACATTGACAGCCCCTCCTTTGAAATGGTGGGGATGGCCTCGCCTTTTCTCCCGAGCATCGTAAACAAGAAGTGGCATCTCTCTTAGCCCGCTCGAATCCTCATTTTCATCCTTCATCACCTGTCCATATACAAAATCTTATCTTATTAATCGTGAAACGAACATCCTCGTTTATCTTTGTTGCAGGAAACTTCATACTTCGTATATGTTATTGTCAATCCAATTAAATCTGTACCTCAACAGTAGGCGGATGATCTCTGCTAACAGATTTGCTTGCATTCACAGAATTCTTCTCCAAAGCATCCTTAAACACACTGTACCTTTCCTGCACCAGAAACTCAAGTTTCAAAAGAATGAAAGAAAGAAAGAAAGAAGAAAGAAAGAAAGAAAGAAAGAAAAACTCAATCAAAGGTTTTAGCTTTGTAGGTGTTGGGATTCCTCCAAGTCCCACACCTGATGAGTAGGAGTAAATGAACCAAAATATATAGGTTCACCCAACCCCATTAGTATGAGGCCTTTTGGGAAGTGCCCAAAAACAAATCCGTGAGGGTTTGACCCAGAGCGGACAATATTATACTAATGCGGGGTTGGGGTGAGGGCACGCGCAGGGTAGGTTTATCAAAGATTTAACAGTCAATCAAAGAGTTTATTCAACAATTGGGATAACCTGGATGATCTTCCTATGTGCAACATACTCATCATCATCATCTTCACTGCCACCAATGCTTCCATGATCGGAAAAGTAAGCCTCCGGGCACCGGACTTCCACCTCATATTTCCGGCAGAAAGGAACCCAAAACCTCGAGAATCTCCACGCCTCACGAACGGCGTTCAGCGTCACGGAAGAGCCTCCGTCGTTGGAAACATAAACAGAGAGCTTACGAGAAGGGTAGTCGAGCGACATGGCCGAAAGAACAGTGTTCATCACTCCGAGCGACGGCTCTTTGTTCGGATCCGCCGTGCACACGAACACGTCCAAGGCGGGGAGCTGCTCCTCGTCTTCAGGCAGCCGCTCCGGGAACACGGCGCGCTTGACGGGCCGCCACCTGGCAGCCTGGTGAAGAATCCAGAGAAATGTGAGGATGGTTTCTGAGACGAGGACGACCAGGTGGGGAAGAAGGCGAGGCGGCGGGGCGGCACTCTTCTCCTTTATGAATGCCGGAAATTGTGGCGAGTCTGTAGGAGAAGATGGCTGTTATGGCGATCCCGTTGAGGAGCATGTGAAGTCTGTTGATGATGAGATTACCCGTCAATGGGCGAAGCACATTTAGAGGCGGCAGCGCCGCCACCGCGGATGGAGTGGCATAGGCAGCCATGGATGGATATTCCGGTCACCTTCCTCCTGAGTCTGTGGGAAATTTCAGAGGGAATAATGGCGGGTGAGTTTGAGAGGAGAAGCGGGGGACACGGAGTATATAATTGCACCTTGGATACTGCGTCATCGATGATGCATGCATGATGTCATCTGTCAGGTCCCCCATCATACTCTTTTTTTGACACATGGTAGAAATTATTAGAGCAGAGGAAATCGGTGCAATGCCGGTGGGCGTCAAGCCGGATTTTAAAGCCCGGGGCGTTAAACACCACCCCCATAGGGCTTCCAAGCGGCCTCACTCCCTCACCGTCAGAAGTTTGACGCAGTCCCCCCTCCCTAACGGCTAAATTAGCCGTTGCAATCCTTAAAAAATTTTTAAATTATTTTTTTATAAATTTCAAACTTCATCTCCTCCAATTCTCATACTTTTCAATCTCCAATTCTCATTAATTTTCTTCACATCTTCAATTCTCAATTTTCCAATTCTCTTTTCAACATGAATTCTTCCGGCTCTGGTTTTTTCCCCGACGATCTCGAGCTTAACGAGCACGCCATGTGGATCTTCCAACAATATAAGAGTAATCCAACGTTGTTCGAGATGCAACCATCGGGGTACGTCTATGAGCAGGAGTTGGTTCCGGAGACTCAACCGGAACTATCCGGCACCAAAAAAGTGCACGCCGGAAGAGCCACAAAGCGAAAGACACTCAAGCGATGACTGAGGCTGCACAGTTAGTCCAAAAGTGGATGCCGGAGGAAGAGTGTGTGTTGGTGTTGGCTTGGGTTGACGTCTCCGAGCATCCTATCGTTGGTAAAAATTATATGTTTTCTAATATATTCCTGTTTTTATTTATATAATCGTGTTATATATTTGTGTTAAAAAAATTTCGTGTTATACTTTTTAAAGGTTCGGAGCAAACGAAGGATGCAATGTGGGATCATATCGAGAAGAAGTTCTTTATGGCGATGAACAAGGACGCCTCGTACCGTACTCGGGACCAACTCACTTCCAAATGGGGCCACATGACCGTAAAGTCAGAAAGTTTATCAGAGTTTACGAGGAATGCGCCCAGTTTCGAAGGAGCGGGACGAACAACGCCGATGTTCTCCGGCTTGCCATGGCCTGGTATCAAGACGACGGGCACCAAGGCAAGGTAACCATCGATCTTTGGAGGATTTTGATCCGTTCACCGAAATCGCAACAACTCAACAATTTCGACGCTGAATCCTCAAAAAAAGATCATCCGTCAACGCCAAGGTTGAGGTCGATGACACTATCGGTTCGTCCGAAGAAAGACCTCCCTTCAACATTGCAGATTCCGATGACGAGGACCTCATTCCACGGCCGATTGGAAGAAAGAAGGTAAAATCCATTACCTCGGGTTCTAGAGGGTCTGACTCTGATTCTGTTTTTTCTCACGACGATATAGGTCGGACAATGGTTGAACAACTTCAGATGTTCAATATTCGAGAAGAAGAGAGGGCGAAAAGAAAGCAAGAGAAGGAAGATATTGAAATAATGGAAACTGACCTTGATACGTTATCGGGGTTCAAACGTATGATCTTCGAGAGAAGACAAAAAGAGATCGAGGCTAAATATAATTTACCTTAGTTTTTTTTATTAATGTATTTTTTTAATTATTGCCGCTTTAATTTTTTTAAATTTAATGAGTGTAAGTTTTTTTTAATTATTGTCTCTTTAATTTCTTTTAATTTAATGAATGTAATTTTTTTAATTATTCTCGATTCAATATAATTAAATAATAAAATAATTAAATTTTATTATTTTAGTTTTAGAAGATGTACATTTAAAAATGCAAAAGCTGACTCATTTTTATTGAATTTGTGAGATAAGTTAAAGCTGACGTGACAGAGAAAGAAATTTGAAAATCCCTCATGGAGCCCCAATTTTGAAGCCCCAGTTTCCAATGCCCTTATGATTTTGGCTATTGGTATAAGTCTCAAGAGCCCAAAGTTTATTGGGTGCATATAAGAATCCATCAATAGATGTTCTTAAAGGAGTGTTGGAAGACTCCAAGTTTGGTATCAAGTGCTCCAATTTAAATACGATCTCAAAAATTGCATCATTTGGTTTTCCAACAGTTCAGACATTTTGATTTGTTCTAAAATTGACTAATATGTTGAATTTAATTAGTTCCTTCAATTTTATTGTGGTTTTTGTCATCAATGATTTATTTTTCATGCCTTTTTCAAAAGGGGAGGTGCAGTTACTATGCTTTTTTGTTATACATGCAGTAATAGAGACTCTTTGCATATCTTTGTAAGATTCTTCATATCAAACTCTAAGTATGATTTTCTAGTAAAAAGTCAGCGACCCTTTTTCTTGTTTGATTTTGTAGCACACCTTTGCTGTCATTTTTTGTCTCTGTTTTAGGAGTTATAAAGCTGGAAAAAGGCACCTCAATTAGAGGAGAAAGATGGTTAACAAAAGCGGATTGTTCTTATGAAAAAGGAGTGAAATTAGAAGAAAAAGTGTGCAAGGAGGGGTCACCCACAAGGAGGGATGGTGCCATGAATGTTTGGCATTCAATGAATTCTTAGATAAATATTTGCACTAAATAGCACTAAAACTTAAGTCATTTTTTAAGGAAAAATTACCCAAAATAATCCCAACTTTACCCGATCTTTCAAAAATAATTCCACCTTTCACAGTGATGCATAATAATCCCAACTTTATTGAAATTTGAGAGTTTTGGGTCGCCGTTAAGTTTCTAACGGAGGGTTAACGGAAATGCCTGTTTTAGGCAACAAAATGAAAGTTGGAATTATTTTTTATGAATTTTTGTTTTTTATTTTTCATTTTTTGAAATTTTTATTTAATTTTTTGGAATTACTTTCAACCTCCATTTCTTTTTATTTTTTAAAGATTATTCTTACCTTAGAAAAAATAAAAAAAATAGATATAAAAAACAATGAAAATGAGAAAAATAACTAAAACCATACAAAATTAATGAAATAAATAATGTAATCAATAGAAATTAAACAGAAACTGGTAAGAAATAAAATAAATATACACAAAGTGGTGGGTTATAACATTTTACACACTACATGGAGTCTTAACATACTACTTAATTTTTAAAAGAACAAGCCGTCCGGTAAAGTTGGAATTATTGTAAATAATTTTTTTCTAAAAAATAAGAAGTGATACGTTAATACTTTGTATTGTGCGTATAATATTAAAACCCACCCGTATATTTTTATTTTATTTATTACCAATTTCAAGTTAGTTTCTATTGATTACCTTATTTATTTTATTATTTTTGTATCATTTTAGTTACATTTCTCATTTTTTATTTTTTTATATCTATTATTTTTATTTTTTAAGCTAAGACTAATCTTTAGAAAAGGAAAAAGAAATGATGATGGAGGTAGAAAGTAATTTTAAAAATTTAAATGAAAAATTCAAAAAAAAAACGAAAATTCGTCAAAAATAATCCCAACTTTCATTTTGTTGCCCAAAACAGGCATTTTCGTTAACCCTCCGTTAGAAACTTAACGGCGACCCAAAACTCGCAAAATTCAGTAAAGTTCGAATTATTATGCATCACACTGAAATGTGGGATTATTTTTGAAAGACCGGGCGAAGTTGGGATTATTTTGGATAATTTTTCCTTTTTTTAAATAACACTTAAATTATTTTATTTTCTAAATAGTACTTAATAATGTCAAGTAATGACAAATATTTACTTGAATAATGATTAATGCATAATGACTAAAAGTGGTACATTGGGGAAAAAAACACATGTAATACTATTTAGGAAAATATATTATGTTTTAGTGTTATTTGAATAAATTCCTCCTCCATAAATAAGAGTGTAAATTTTTTTAGGGGTGAGCATGGTACGGTATTTAGCTTGTACCGATACCGTACCAAATATTTCGGTTCGGTATGAGATTTTACTCCGTACCGATCCCGATCCCGAAATATCGGTTCGGTATGGTTCGGTGTCGGTTTCGGTACAAATCGGGATGAATATACATACATATTTTACACGTTAAAATTTAACAATACCCTTTTATTTTTGAAAATTAAAAGTGAATTTAAATAAAAATACATGAAAAATAAAAAAAATGAATATTTAAATGCAAGAGATGCGTATCAAAAACTTAGTTTATATTTCACAAACTAAAAAATGAATGACAACAAAAGAGTATTTTGAATCTTTGTAAATACTTTTATACTCATACACAATAATTAAAACTCAAATAAAAGTATAATTTACACATAATAAAATTTGAACCAATTTTTTTTTAAAAATTATAATTTAGTGAAGGAATATATAAAAATATTACTCCGGAGTATTATTTTTATAATATTTTAGTGTATATTTTCGGTACGGTATTTTCGGTATGGGATGTCACCTCATACCGTTCCCGAATACCGTACCGACCATTCTGTTCGGTTCGGTTCGGTTCGGTTCCTTCTCGATACTTTTTCGGTTCGATATTCTCGGGATTTTCGAAAAATTTTGGTATCGATTCGATACTTGCTCACCCCTAAATTTTTTGGTTTTAGGCTTTGGCAGATAACTATGGAGGGAAAGTATTTCCCCAAAAAACTCAAATTTTTGGATGTTGTTTACTTCGAGGGCACTCGTGGGAGATGTAATCATCACTATTTATCACAACTCATTTAATGCAATTGTAACTTATTCTTATTTTAATACTCCTTCCGTCCCTAAATAGATTACAGTTTTTTTTTCTCTCCTCTCGATAACTTTTGTTTGTTTACGCGATTTCATTAATTATTTGATAAAATAAAATATTCTTGTCACTTCTTGTTTTGTAGAATTTTTGAAGTAGTTTTTTAATATGTAATTTTTATATCTTATTGATATACCAATTTGTAAATAAAATGATTTCAGAAAGTAAGAAATTTACTCCGTAAACCGCAATTTGTAATCAAATTGGGGACGGGGGAGTATTATTACACACTATTCATTTATTTGAGGTATCTCACTACTACTTTTGCTTGTAAAAGTATTTTGGGAAGTTCAAGGGCCCAAAAGGCATTCTTTAATTTTCCACTTTAGTCAACACGCCCCTATCCTTCTCGGGCGGGGGAGTATTTTTTATTCCCTCTGTGCTAAAATTAAATTTTCATTTGACTTTTCACGGTCTTCAATGCGACACTTTGACCATAAATATCTCAATTTTTATATAAATATATTTTATGAAAATTATACTCCCTCCGTCCCTAAATATTTACAACGTTTTCTTTTTCAGCGTTGCGGAAACTTTTGTTTATTTCTACGTTTTCATTGGTTATTTGATAAAATAAAATATTCTTGACACCTCTTATTTCGAAAAAAATTTTCATGTAGTTTTTTTATATGTAAATTTTATATTTTATTTCTATACCAATATGTAAATAAAATGAATTGAGAAAATTTGATATTTTGACTAAGGAATACAAGTGTGGCAAATATTTAGGGACGGAGGGAGTATATTTCAAAACTATGTTTCAAAATGAATCTATTGCTAATAAATTTATATGAAAATTCAATGTATTTTTTCTGTAATATTTGGTCAAAATTTAAAAAATTTAACTACAAAAATTAAACTGAAAAGTAAATTTTAGTAGGGAGGGACTATTAATGATTTTTTAAAATAGGATTGGTGTAGAATTTCAAACAAAAAAAAGTGTACAGTACTATGGGTGGACACGGTACCGGTACGGTCGGTACCCGCCACCGTCACCGCCGGTCGGGACGTTCCATTGGTTTCCGGAACCGTTACCGGAACCGCCCCCTCGGTACCGGTTCCGGTACCCATTTTTTGGTACCGGTACCGGCGATACCGGTACCGGTTCCGGTACTATTTTTTGTTTTGATTTACAATATTTAAATAACAACTACATTTTTAGATTTTTTTTATTTCATTCTTTCCTTTATCAATTGCATTTTTAACTTTTTATATTTCATTTTTTCTTTTAACAATTGCACATTTACAATTTTATATTTTAAAAATTTAATTAAAAACAAAAAAAAATTGGAGGTGGCGGTTCCGGTACCGGAACCGCCGATTCGGGTATTGGAACCGGTACCAGCCGGTCCGATCACGATATCGATATCAAGGGGTGGCGGTAACAGAACCGTTCCAGAACCGTACAAGTAGATTTGTTACTTGAAAATTTGTCGGGCTGTTTTCACGTGGATCGGAGAGTAATTTCGTAGTGCCAATTTGAAGGAATAGTTTATGATGCGCTTACGTAGCAATGACATCATGGATGCAGTGACTCAGCGATGACGCAATCTCCGTGATGCAGATATATATACACCGCACCCCTGCCTCTCGTCTCAAACCCACCCGCCATTTCCCCCCTGAAATTTCTCACCGGAACAATCAATCCATGGCTGCCAATGCCACTCCACCCGCGGCGGCGCCGCCGCAGCCTCTCAACGCTCTCCGCCCATTGACGGCCAATCTCATCATCAACAGACTTCACATGCTTCTCAATGGGATCGCCATAGCCGCCATCTTCTCCTACAGATTCGCCGCCATTTCCGGCATCACAAAGGAGAGGAGTGCGGCCCCGCCTCCCCGCCTTCTTCCCCACCTCGTCGTCCTCGTCTCCGAAACCATCCTCACATTTCTCTGGATTCTTCACCAGGCTCCCCGGTGGCGCCCGGTCAAGCGCGCCGTGTTCCCGGAGCGGTTGCCGGAGGACGAGGAGCAGCTCCCCGCCGTGGACGTGTTCGTGTGCACGGCGGATCCGAGCAAAGAGCCGCCGCTGGGAGTGATGAACACTGTTCTTTCGGCCATGTCGCTCGACTACCCTTCTCGGAAGCTCTCTGTTTATGTTTCCGACGACGGCGGCTCTTCCGTGACGCTGAACGCCGTTCGTGAGGCGTGGAGATTCTCGAGGTTTTGGGTTCCTTTCTGCCGGAAGTATGCGGTGGAAGTCCGGTGCCCGGAGGCTTATTTTTCCGATCAGGGAAGCCCTGGTGGCAGTGATGATGATGATGATGATGATGAGTATGTTGCTGATAGGAGGATCATCCAGGTTATCCCAATTGTTGATACATTTGTTAGAGTCTATCCTTGATTTGAAAAATAATCAGTATATAAGTTCTTGAGTTAAATTAAGTAATTGATTGGACTAAATCTTTGATTTAACCTAAATGTCTTATGACCCCGGTCGTAAAATTCGAAAATGGTATTGGAGCCAATTTTAGCCGGCCCACCTTGTTTGGCAGCGACCGTTAGTCTTTAATTCAGTAGTCCGTATGGAGTATGTACCCAACAGCCAGTGTCTCTTTTAATCTGATTGCTCGTCTGAAAGTTCATATCGAGCAGATTAGTGAAAGATGGATTTATGAATGAGAAATACAAGTCTCCTATATTTATAGGAATCAAGAGGAGAATATCAAATTGATCAAGTGGGCTAGGAAGTGTTGGCAAAAAAATCTAGGGGATGAGAGTCCATTTGCAAGTGGTCAATCGATTAGATTCAAAAGGACCCGGTTCTCCACTTTAGGAGAGTGTTAGAGTTTATCCCATATCGAAAGTTGAATAGAAAAATAATAGGTATATAAGCTTTTGAGTTGAACTAAATAATCGATTTGATTCAATCTTTTTATGTGGTTCAACCTAAGTGCCTTATGGCTCAATCTAGTTATCCTTATCTCATCGCAAAATTCTATCAGCATTAATTAAAATTTTTTGATTAGTTTGAAATTTGCTCACGAGTTTAAATCATATCATTAATCAATTTATAAAATATTACTATTCCTGTGTAAAAATTTTAAACAAGTTTCACAAATATCATCTCCAAATTTGTAGTCTAGTTGATCTAGAACATTCATCCATTCATGTTAATTTGAGTGCACAACCTTTTAAAGGACCTCTAAACAAAGTTTAAGTTGTTGTATTTCCTTTCTGGTTGGTACAATGAAATTGAAAGGAAAAAATAAAAAAACGATTTTCTCACATTTTTCTTTACTTTTTCTTTGTAACAGAATAAGAAAAGTTGTTTTTGGTCTCAATTTTTTTGTTCAGGAAAGGTACAATGAGTTTAAGAAAGCTTTGGAGATGAAGTCGGCAAATGCTAGCAAATCTGTTAGTAGAGATCATCAGCCAACCATCGAGGTACATATTACGGTACTTTATTTTGAAAGATAGTTTTTTGACTTTTATCACAAGTAATGGTACAAAACTTTGTTAATCATTAACAAATGATTAATGAAAATTAGTTAAAAAATAAGAAAGAGTTTGACGAATGAATAATGGAACAAAACAATGATTTTGGGACGAAGGAAGTAAAATTCATTTTTTTAAATTTACAACTAAAATACACCTTGATTCCCATGACATTGGTTCCCAATGTCGTGGGATGACCCCTGGGCGCTCCGGTGCCCCGTTCGTAAAATTGATGGTTCCTATGCCCCTGACCCACCGGTAAACCCCCCTACCCCGCCCCGACCCGAACACACTCCCCACACCCCTTCAATTGCACCCCACAAGTTGATTTTGACATGTATGTGAGATGTTTTGCTTCTAGCTAGTAGAATTGATTCCTTCTAAATTATTGAGCAAGAAATCTCTGTGGTTTTTGTGTTTCCATAACAAAATAGAATTGAAAAAGCTTCAGAACTGCCTTGCCTTGCTGCCTTGTACATTAGGCACTAAACTTAAATAAATCTAACTTGTTCTTGGCTGTGTTATCATCACTTTCTGTTGATTAGCAATATTTCTATAGCTTGTTCTTCCATCTCAACTTTAGGATTGATTTTTTTTTTTTTTTTAAATTCACTGTTAGTATAAGAGGCCTCTTCTTGTTGTATATGGGTAGGTGATGAGAGATGAAAATGAGGATTCGAGCGGGCTAAGAGAGATGCCTCTTCTTGTTTATGTTGCTCGGGAGAAGAGGCCAGGCCATCCCCACCATTTCAAAGGAGGAGCTCTAAATGTTCTAGTAATGATTACAGCATTCTCCTTCTCTCCGTTCCTTTATTAGCTGTCCACTTTCTTAAAACTCTCGCTTTTAAGAAGTTTAAAGTATCAAATGAATCCTTGAAGTGAGGCTGTCTCTCGTTCTTGTCGGCAATGCTTATACCTCATATCTATGATATTTTAGACAATAATTTCTTTATTGAATATGGAAAGTGGACAACTATTTTTGGACAAATGAAAACAATAAATTGGATAACTAAATTTGGGGAGAAAGGAACTAATTACTTTATTTGTTTATGTTTTCTTTATGTCTCCAATAACGTCACCGAGTTTCTTAATCTTCCATGGAACTGCTTAATAGTTGAGCCATTCACAGTCCTTATTTGTGTGTAGCTCCGAGTGTCTGCGGTAATAAGCAATGCTCCCTACTTTCTGGTGTTGGATTGTGACATGTACTGCAACGACCCTTCCTCTGCTCGCCAGGCTATGTGTTTTTATCTTGATCCCAAAGTGTCTTCCCGAATAGCTTGGGTTCAATTCCCCCAGAAATTTCACAATACCAGCAAACACGATATCTATGATGGAAGGCTTAACCCCATATGGGTATGACTTTTTTTCACCTTCCTTTAATCCTGCAACGTGTGTATTGTTTAGAGAATATATCAGTTTAGTTCATTTACCAAAAAAAATGAAAACTAATGCACAGAGAGAAGGGCAAGGCTTAGATGGTCTTAGAGGACCTACCATATATGGCTGCAATTTTTTCATGAAAAGGGAAGCATTCCATGGAACCAAGAACATTCAGATAGGTACTTGGGCTTGATTCTTATGCATACTCCTGTAATCAAGCAATCATTTGATCTTATTATCTCTCTTGCAGGTGTCGATCTCAACGAGCTGAAGGATCTGTTTGGCTCGAGCGATGAGTTCATTGAAGCTGCTTTACGCAAAAGCTGTTACAAACCGAAATTGGCTGAAGACAGAAAGCCCTCTGATGCATTGCAAAAGGAGCTTCAATTGCTGGCCTCTTCCACTTACGACTCTGGCACGCAATGGGGTAAACAGGCAAGTCTCTACCGTGTCTATGGAACAACCAATCACTAACTAATCTTCTTCTAATATAGTTTTTGTTTCATTAAATGGCAGATTGGGTTCCGATATTTCACTGTTGTGGAGGATACCCTAACAAGCCTTCAATTGCACTGCAACGGGTGGGTTTCCGTGTTGATTGATGACCCTGCCAGGCCATGTTTCTTAGGGACTTCCACTACGAACCTGAGCGATATGTTAGTTCAACAGATGCGTTGGTCATTTGGACTGATGCAAATTGGTCTGTCAAGGTTTACCCCTCTCATCTACGGACCACTAAGGATGTCAGTCCTTCAAAGCATGTATTATGGTTCCCTTGTGCTCGACTGTCTCTACACCATCCCTTTCTATGGTCTATCCATAATTCCTCCCATCTGTCTCATATACGGCTTTCCTCTTTATCCCAATGTCTCAGATCCATTTTTCTTTGCATTTGCTTATGCTTTCCTCGTGTCGCATATCAAACACGTACAAGAGGTATTTGCGTATGGAGATCATTCGTTGAGGAACGCATTGTATGAGGTGAGAGTCTGGATGATGAAGTCTGGGGCGGGTTACTTTTACGCGCTTGTGAATTCTTTCTTGGACAAATTTGGTATGCACGAAGCAAATTTCAATGTGACGAATAAGGCAGGGGTTGATGGCGAACAAGCGCTTCTCTATGAGCGTGGCATGTATGACTTCCGAGTATCTCCCATGTTGATTGTTCCACTGTGCAGCATTTACATTCTCAACCTGGCTTGCTTTGTTGTGGGAATGCTGAGGATGTTTCGCAAGGGTGGGGACGGGTTGTTGCTCGCCCAAGCGGCTCTCTCATTCTATGGGGTGGTTGTCAACTGCCATTTGTTTGAAGGGATGTTTTTGAGGAAGGACAGTGGCCGCATCTCGGGGTATGTCTCTCAGATTGCTATAATGGTATCTGGAGTCATCTTCGGCCTTGGTTCACTTCTTGTACATTATTATTGAATGAAGTGATTTTTTGCTCCAGTATGTACTCCAAAAACTGAAATCGAACTCATCACTGCTCTAGTATGAGATGTTGGAATGCTATCTAGATGGAATATATATCTTGTTTGCGAGTATTTAGTTGCTGTAAAAGTTTAAAACATCACTTATGTTTTGCACTTGTCACTTTCAAGTACATGAAATAACAACTGTTAAGAAAAGAGCCCCATTCCCTTGACAATGGGAACCAATGTTACGAAATGATATCAATCACGGACAAATGTGGTTCTGTTGGGTCCAAATGTGGTTCCTCCCATATTGCCACTCTTTCTCAAAATGCCAAATGTGCAAGGAATAACTTTCAGACCCTGTGGAACACCATGTAGGTATTCAATGTTACACAATGACATTAGTTCTCAATGTCAAGATCAGAGAACCTTATAGGGGTAAAGAAAAGAAAACTGCCAATTCCAAAATAGAGACAAAGACAATAATATATATATATATAATATATATATATATATATATATATATATATATATATATATACAAGGAATAAATTTTTTTCTATTAAAATCGCAGCTAAACCTTATAATGGAGGTTGCGTACGTACCCAGTGTAACAAATTATACGAATTCTGGGATCAAGCCACACGTAGTTCTTAATTACATTATTAAAGCAATCACTAATCAATTCAATCTTACAAAGTAGTCTACATGTAAACAAGAAAGAGCAATCACTAACCATTTTGTGTAGACATTTGCTGACAATAGGACAGAATCAAATTAGATGCAGTTTAGCATGTCCCTAGGGTCTTTAGCTTCTAGAATGTGCTCTTCACAAAACTCAACTGCAATGTTTATATCCAAAGTTGCTTTGACATTCTCATCTTATCTTAGCATGCCATTGTACGTGTTCCAAACTTCATGGCTACATACTCTTAATATTTTTATGCCTAAATCCAGTCTTTTTCATGTACTGGTCTTGTTAAATGGTTAGTGCAGTTCATAGGCTGGTACATCAATGTAGTCTCTCGTTACAGAAGTCTTGGTGTTTTTCATGCATACGTCTGTTCCACATTGACCAAACATAATAAAACTCAGTTCTAGTGTGTTACGACCAGACATTAGTCAGGTATCAACCTTGGTTTATTAGGTTGTTACAGTTACTTATCTGGGAAAGGAATTGTGTCCCTCGTTACGGGTATGGTTTTCATTTAAGATCATATCTGCTCCATTTGGACTCAACAATATTATATCACCTTAAGGTATAGAGTATTACTAATAATATAATGATACAGTATATGATACTCCCAGTCTTTAGTCAGGTATCGATCTAGGTGTATCAGGTTGATACAGTTACCTGTCTGGAAAAGATACTGTGTCCCTCGTTACGGATTTTGTGTACATTTAAGATCATGCCTGCTCCATTTGGACTCAACATTTATTCAGTTCCCTAAGTACTCTATTAGATTTTAATGATATGTGTTATTACCCGTCATCAGTTATCTTAGGTGGCATGTTAGGTCAATAAAGTTTGTTGTCCTGAGTAGGAATCATGTATTGGAAAGGAATATTCACTATTATTTGACTTTGGAGTAAGATAGAATAGAGCAAAATGGTTCTTATTCATATTATTTGACTTTGAAGTAAGACTGAAAGTGTCTTGGGGGTTTATTCATATTGGAGAACTGATATTCCCAATTGGTAATATGTGCAGATAATGCTGGAGTTATAGCCAACCCCAAGGGTGAAATGAAAGGTATGCACTAGTTTTTCTGTTATCTTCTTTTCCCATTATAAGTGCTATGTAAGAATAGTTTTGTTTGAAAAATGCACTGAATTACACGGAGTAGTATCTTAGTGAAAGCTATTGTCAAATTAGGGCTATGTATTTTCAATTAATTGTTTTATATATTGACACATAAACACTTGTTTGGATGAAAATTGAACACTTTTGTTCACCCATGAGAGTTCATGACACATTTTAGGCTGGAGGCAGTGTGAAGTGTATCATTGTTTTTGTAACTGATGTATAGCTGACGTCTTTTGCTTTCTCATTTCAGACTAATCAACTAGATAAAGTTTTGAACTTGGTGTATTATACCCTTGAAGTTTCAATGGTTTTGGAGTTTGTCCATCTTGGATTTTGAAAATATTCTCTCATCTGAAAGATTATTTATTCTCTGATGAGAATCAAGAACAGTTTACACAAATTAAATTGCTAGTTCATTTGAGAACATTCACCTTCTTGGTTTGTGGCCTAGGAAACTTTATAGCATACTATCTCCGTCCCAGTGTATTTGTCCAGTTTGACTTTTTTGAGTCAAATATGTCAAATTTTTAGTTTCAATTACTCCCAATTAATTTGTATTGCATACTAGTATAATAAAATATAATCTTGAAAATTTTTAATAAAGATAAATATAATTCAATCATTTTTGTATTAAATACATTACGGTTCGAGAGTAATTGAACCTCAAAATTTATTCTGTTTGACTTGAAAAAGTCAAACTGGGCAAATACATTGGAATGGAGGGAGTATTTTTTACGGAATGTCGACTTTGTTGCAAATTTTTTTTAAAATGGATTTTAAAAAATTTCTTTTTCTTTAACGTTTGCCATTGATGAGACATTACCTATATGGTTTTATGGAGATATGGTAGAGTAAAATAGTAGTTGGACTATGGTTTGCTCTTGCGAGAAACAATGCTTTCTTTTGGACGAAAATAAAAACTGCATTGTTTTTTACAAGAACAAAAATATTTAATGGTATGTTTGGGAACATGAATTTGGATTTCAAATCTGGATTTGGCTCAAATTCCATGTTTGAAAAACTTAAAAATTTCGAATTTGAATTTGAGTCAAATTCTTCTCATTCATGACAAAGCTTAATTTAAAATTCATGCACCTCCCCTTGTCATTTGAAATTCAATATTTCAAATGTTGAAATTGAAATGCATGAATTGAAATGAAATACTAGTTGCCAAACACTACCTAAAGGAATTTGGATCAAATTCAAATCCAAATTCTTTAAATTGCCAAACATGATTTTTGTACGAAATTTGGATTTCAAATCTAAATCTATGTAAAGCCATAATTAAAAGTTAATTTACTTTTTCTTAATTTTTGTAACAAGTCAAAAGTGATTTTTTCAGGTCAGAAGTGAAACTTTTTTATATGAGACCAATGGAGTATTAAAACGCATGCATTGTTTCTAAACTTGGAATCTCTTATACTCACCGAATAAGTATCTAATTAAATTTCGAGGATGTTTCGCAAGGGTGGGGACAAATCGTTGCTCGCCCAAGCAGCTCTCTCATTCTATCGGGTTTTTGTCAATTGCCATTTGCTTGAAGGGATGTTCTTGAGGAAGGACAGTGGCTGCATCTCGGGATACGTCTCTCAGATTGCTATAATGGTATTTGGAATCATTTTCGGCTTTGGTTCGCTTCTTGTACATTATTGTTGAATGAAATGATTTTTGCTCAATATGTACTCCAGTGTTGAAGCAGTAGAATGTGGAACATTTTCTTATGCATCCAAAATCTGAAATCGAACTCACCACTGCTCAATTATGAGATGTTGGAATGCTATGTAGATGTGGAGTATCTTGTTTGCGAGTATTTAGGAGTTGCTGTAATAGTTTAAAACATCACTTAGGTTTTGCACTTGTCACTTTCAAATACATGAAATAACAACTGTAAAGAAAAGAGCCTCATTCCCTTGACAATGGAAACCAATGTTACGGGATGATATCAGTCAATGACAAATATGGTTCTGTTGGGTCCAAATAATCTTGCTTGCCCTAACCCTAGCTCCCCTATTGCCACTCTTTCTCACAATGCCAAATGTGCTAGGAATAACTTTCAGACCCAACGGAACATTATCTAAGTATTCAATGTTACACAATGACATTAGTTCTCAATGTCAAGACCACAAAACCTTATTAGGGTAAAGAAGAGAAAATTGTGAATTCCAAAATAGAGACAAAGACATATATAGAAACACGGAATAATTTTTTTCTATTAAAATTGTAGCTGAACCTTATAATGGAGGTTGCTTACGTACCCAGTGTAACAAGTTATACGAATTCTGGGATCAAGCGGCACACGTAGTTCTTAATTACATCATTAGATCAATTCAATCTTACAAATTAAAAAAATTCCAAACGTAGTCTAAATGTATGTAAACAAGAAAGAGTAAATAATGTGTATGTGGTGGACTAATTATTAAAATTGTTCATCATGAACGAACGAAATCCTCATCTTCATCTTCTTCTTCTTGTTGTTGTTGATGTTAGATCATCAATCATCATCGTCGTCGTCGTCCTCCGATCCTCCTCTTAGGGTTTGGGGCCGCAGCAGTGGTTCGGTCGCGGGAGAGGAGCATCGTGGTTTCAGAAGCGCCGATGCACTGAATCTTTCTCTTGGCCTTGTTTTCCGCAACTTCCGCGTAACGCCGGCTCAGGTTCCTCTTGGCGGCTTCCAGCAGCTTATTGTTCTCCTCCGCGGCGGCGGCGGCGGCTTTCCTGAAGGACGACCCAACAGCAGCAGCTTCTTGTCCCGGAGTACTATTATTATTGAAGGCGGCGGCGGCCAATTCATCATCATGGGGTTTCTTCTTGAGAATCTTGATCCTTATCTTTCTTGAACAAGAAACGGCTGCGGCGGCGGGTTTGTTGTCGATGATGTTGATGTTGTTCTTCTTCTTGGCATTGATCGGCGTTTGAGGATGATGATGGTGATCATCGTTGAAGAGGAGTTTGAGGATGTGGGTCCTGTGGTTGTTGAGCTGGTCGGGGGCGACGACGGAAGCGACGGAGATGGCTTGCCGGATGAAGGTGACGATGTCTTGGTCGTCGTCCTCCTCCATCTTGTGCACCCTCCTCCGGAACACCGCTCCCACGTCCTCCTCCATTATTACTTCCTTCTTTCTTTCTTTCTTGTGATTGCGTTGCGGCTAGGGATCACACTCACTCACTCACTCACGTAGTCATCACGTATATATACTTCGTATTTTGTTTCCTAAATTCTAGGGCTTCCTTGCTTGCTTAAGAATTCCGCCTTTGACTCCTACTTTGACTCTTACTTTGGACTATTAACTAACACACACTCACTCACTTCCAAATTTATTCCTCTCTCTTCCACCTAAACAAATTATGCCCTTCATCTCAAACTACAAGCGGTTTCATTTATTTCTCATTATTAATTACACACTTCCAATTCATCTGAATTCTTAACCAAAAATTTTATTTATTTTTCATTCACCTTATTTAATTAAACATGCAATGGTCTAAAATCAAAGCCCAAATTGCACTAGTGTTTGAAAAATTGGGACCAATACTCGATCCTTCTCTTTTCAAAACTTATTTTGAAAACATAATGACTTTCTCAAAATAAGACCACATGTTTTTATTTCTCAATGTAGGGCCTTTGGTCATTATCATTTAGTAATTATTCAAGTAAATGTTCATCATTGCTGTGCATTATTCCTTCCACGAATACATTATTAAGTCCTAATTAGGGAATAAAAAAGTTTAAGTCCTGGATTAGAAAAATCATTATGTTTTAGTCTTATTTAGTACAAATTTCACTAATAACTAACACACACTCACTTCCGAATTTATTCCTTTCTTTCTTTCACTTAATAAACATATGAATTGCCCTAATCTCATGTCATCTTAATTAGGAGCCCGTTGCATTTATTTCTCACTATTAATTACACACTTCATTTGGATTCTTGTCACCAAGTTTACTAATTTTTTATTCATTTTATTTAATCTAACATGCACTGGTGTACGTAAAACAAGAAAAAATTGAAGTACAAATAACAAAAAATCTAACCAAATTGGACTTAAATTATCGGAACAACGATTCTTGTTTTGTAGAACTATCTTTTATGTACTTTTGAACGATACAACTTATACTATTTATTTCTAAACTAATCTATAATTAAAATGATTGAAAAAGTAATGAGATTTCACACATTCAGAGAATAGCATCCATTATGGAACGAATAAAGTATGTATTTTGGTACTCTGATCCATGCCTCCCAATTGTTTTGAGTGATTGAAAGTTGTGCATAAAAGAGAGAAATGATCTAAACCATACAAACTTTACCTGATATAAAGATTGAAACCTTATTTTGGGAGATATAAAAAGAGTATTATACGTTGAACATTATATTATTGCGGTACGGAGGAAGTATAAACATTTAAGTCTTATTTTAGCATATGAAACATATTTTAGTCCCATTTTGGTAGCTCTCTCCAAGAAAATTATAAAGTATTGTTAAAAAAATTTACACTCGTAGTATAGTAACTTTTTGGAGAGAATATTTTTCTGAAAAAATTGTAATGAATTAAGTTGCGTTCCGTTCAACATATTTTTCTGTCTATTACTTATTCTTATTAAAATCAGATCAGACCACATTATATTCAATCAGATCAGACCATATTATATTCAATTAGATCAGTTCAGATCAAATAAGATCAAATTCAATCAGAATTATTATTATTATTATTGTAATATATTATTATTATTATCATCATCATCATTATATTCGACTTCACGAGTCAGTTATCCCATTATCTCGTGGAGTTGACGTTAGCCGGAAAGTGATACTACCATGTTCAACTCCGGACGCAAGACCCAACTGGATACAGTGCAACTTAATAAAGCAAAACAAATTTGGGATTCAATTAGCAGAGTACGCAATATGTTACTCCATGCGTCCCTAAAAACGTGAGAGGTTTTATTTTTTAAGAGATTCAAGGGCAATGTATTTTGGTATTGAGTTTCTAAAAATATTATTGGGTGTGATAGTTAAAAGTATCATTTGATTGGTAGATTAATAGTTATAATTAGATGTGATACATGTGATAGGTAGGTTAAGAATTAGTAGGTGTTAAAGTGACTCTTAATAGAAATGAGAAAAGTTTTTTGAGACGGAAGAAAAAAGAAAAGAGAAAGGTTTTCAGGGACGGATAAAGTATTATGTAAGATGTAGAAAAAATTTAATTTTTTGTAGCATAACATTCATATATTTCTAATTAAGTACTCCCTCTATTCCACAAAACCCTTCCGATTTTGACTTTGGGGGGGAATAAGGAAAGTGTAATTTTGGTTGACTTTCCAATTTTGCTCCTGATGTGATGGGAAAATGTAAGATGTGATAGTTTGGTTATTAGTAAAAAAGTATGATATGATAGGTAGGGTATGAAAAAGTATGGGTAAAACTATTTTTTAAATAGAAAATGGAAGTGTTTTGTGGAAAGCAAAAAAATCGAAAGAGGAAGAGTTTTGTGGAACGGAGAGAGTATAAAAGTAAAGATTAAAATTTCAATTCTTGGTTATTGTGAATGATTTTTTATTCTAATTTATATATGAATTAATTCTTTTTATTTCATAAATATAGTAATCATAGAATAAAAGTTATTGATTGTATTATACTCCCTCCGTCCCCCTAAGATGTTCTCATTTTGACTTTTGGTAGTTTTTAAGGAGAGTTGAAAAAAGGTGAAAGTTTACCATAATACCCTTAATGAAAAATGGATGGAGTGTATTAAATGAGGTGGGTGAGGTGTAATAAATAAAGTAAGTGGGGGTAGTTGTGGTATTTTAATTGTTAAAAAATGAAATGAGAAGATTTATTGTAGACAAAGAAAAAGGGCTATTGGGAAGATCTATTGTGGACAAAAATCATACTTTAATAATAAAATTAGATCAAATAAAAAAAACAAACTCTTAGCTCAAACGAAAGATTGTTACAAACTTACATCACTAGTGAGGGCTACAACAGAATATGCTCCATTAAGTTGTAATACCCCTCTATTCTTAAATAAATGTTAGTACTTTTTAGAACATTTGATTTTAAATGAAAATAAATTAATATTATGTCTGCATTTATTTGATGTTTATGTATCCACAAAGGTATAATAGACATTTACAAAGTACTCCGTATCATTTAGGAAGAGAGAGAATATACTTCTTGCTTTCGAAAAATATCTCAATAGTTTGACTTTAATAAAATTTCAAAAAATTACTGAAAAGTTAAAAAAATAAAATTAGAATTGAATAAGGAAATAGAGAAGTATTATGAGCTACATATTCATTACCAAAATATGAAATAAAATAAAGAACATAGTCTCTTCATTGACTTTGATAGGAATTTATTAAAATCTAATCCAATTAGAATTGAAGTTTGTTAATAAAAATAAATTAACAAGAACATGCCCTAAGCATAACGTTTTTTTTGAACGCATGAAAATTACTCCCTCTGTCCACCATAAATCTTTCCAGTCACTATTCACAGGGTCAAACTTTACTCACTTTGTTTACTCAATTTTACTAGTAATTTCATAAAATAATATAGTCTTGTCACCTCTAGTTTTGTAGAATTTTTCATGTAGTTTATTACTATATAAATTTTATTTTAAAATTTTACTCCTATAATCAATTAAATTGAATTGAAAATAAAGTCGGTCAAGCCTCGTAACGCGTAATGGGAAAATCATACATGGACGGAGGGAGTATATTGTAAATAGAGTTTTTTTTGTGACAAAATATTTATGGTATAGCTACGAATATAATACGGAGTATTATTTTCGTCCCAAAAACTCTTTCCTTTTCTTTTTTATTTGTCCCACAAAATTCTTCTTATATCTATAAAAAAATATTTTTACCCTACTCATTCTTAACCTATTTGTGGCATCATACACTTTTATTAATAATCTACACATCATATAACAGATATTTTTAGAAAGTTAACACAAATATTTGTTTCTTAAATTTTCTAAAATTCAAAATGGACGCATCTTTTTGGGACGGAAGAAGTATTCCATAAATAAGCTCGCAAATCGGTCGGTTAGGTCGGGTTCGAATTTAATCACTTCGGGTTTGGATTATTTTGAAATCGGGTCCATTCGAGGTTGGATTGAGAACTGTATGTTTATGACACAATGAAAAATCATCGGATTGAGGTCGATCCCACAGTTTAAGACTTTGATTTTTAAAATTTTTAAATTCATGTTAACATTGACATTTCACATTTAATAAAATTAAAATATCAAAAAATATGTACTATTTTATTATATTATTTTTATTTTAAATTATGAAGTAATTTTTAGACATACAAATCAATATAAATAATTAAAAAATGCCTAATTTTTTGAAAAAAGTAAAATAATTACGCAATATCCTTAAAATTTTATCCAAATGTATAAATTTATACACTAAAAACGAGTAGCAAAAAAATATAATTATAGTACTATTTTGTAACATTATATTTCATGGTAAAGTATATGATTTTGAAAAATCATACTTCCTCCGTTCTCAAAAACACTTCCTCTTTCATTTTTTCCACTTCCAACAAAACACTTTCCCTTTCTATTAAAAAACTACTTTTACCCTTACTTTTTCCTACCCTACCTATCACATCATACTTTTTCTCTAATAATCTATCCATCACATCTTACTTTACCCATCACATCAGGGGCAAAATAGGAAATCAACTATAATTTAACACTTCCTTGTTTTTGCCCCCAAATCAAATGGGAAGGTTTTTTTCAAACGGAGGGAGTATACATTAGCATCGGGTTTTAGTTTGGTTGGGTTTGACCAATTCTTTAATGGGTAGTTTCGGATTCGGTCAATTTTGAGTCCGGTCAACATAATCTTTATTCAAAACTCAATATTTTTAGGTTAAGTTTGGATTTGACTCATTTTTAACGGGTCATTTCGTATTCGGTCAACTTTGGATTCGATCAACAGAATCTTTTTTCAAAACTCAATATTTTTGGGTCAAATTTCGGATAAACAGATACTTATCATTTTCTATCTTTTTTTTACCAGGTCCATCAGTAAAATTCAACTATAGACCAAAAAAACTGGCATAACTACTGTCACAACACTACATCCTTTATTAATTAAGATAAAATTAAACAAGGCCTTAAATTAATTAATTCCATCTTCGTGAATATAATTGCCTAGCTTGCTTCACATACGTACTACTCAGTCTTGCGTTCAAGCCCCTTCTTCATCTTAGCGCAGTACTCGAACAAGCTGCCGTCGTAGCACCGCCGGATGGCCTCCTTCGAGAGGAAGCCGTCGGGGTCGCGGGCGAGCAAGTACAAGAAACCCCACTCGAGCTTCGCGGCGACCCACCCGAAGAAGTCGAACGTGTTGCGGTTGCCTTGGGTCATCTCCCAGAGCTCCGCCAGCGTCAGCTTGTCCGGCACCGTCCGGGCGTACTTGCTGAAGATGTTCTCGAAGTTCGCCGGAAGGTACCGGCCCTCGGCGTCGTACGTCCCGGTGTCGCTGCCGTGCTTGTTCTTGTGTATGTTTTCTATGTATATTGGGAAATATATGGACGGCATCCACCCATGTGTGCGTGCGTAATAGTATTAGAAGCCAAGCAATAAGAAGGGATTAATAATACTCCCTCCGTCCCAAAAAGATTTACACGTTTCAAAAAAATGTGTCCCACAATCCCTTACCTATTTGGCCATTTCTATTAAAAAACCACTTTTACTCCTTACTTTTTCAAACCCTACCTATCACATCATACCTTTTTTCTAATAATCTACACATCACATCCTACTTTTACCCATCACATCAAGGGTATTTTTGGAAAGTCAACACAAAATTATTCTTCCCTTACAACTTTAGTCAAAATGAGTAACATTTTATGGGACAGAGGGAGTATAATCTTTACTTATGTCTGAAATTTTGCAAAACTTTGACCACATTTTTTTAAATATATTAACTAATTACGGAGTAGTAATCTACATTCAAATCCATTAATTTAAGATACATATATTTTTGATACTCCATAAATTTTTGATAAAAAATTTATGTCCAGGTTTCCATTCACAGTTTACAAATTAAATCAAGAGTCATTTGAGTTCAAAGTTTATGAAGTTTGATTTCAGAAACTAGAGATAATACGAAGTAGTTATTAATATATGGTCAATATGTCACATTGGTGTTTTAAAAAAGATTGACAAATTTTGATCTATGGAGTAATAAAGTAAAAAAAATTAGAATATTTCAAAATATAAATTTATTTAAATCCTTTTTGTATTTGTGTGCAATGTAATTTTTATTTAATTAATGATCCAAGTTTGTTTAATTTGAGTATTTGACTGTAAAATGTCAAATTTGACTAACAAAAAGTGCAAAATATATACTCACTTAAAAGATCTAATAAACAATTAATTAGTGAAATTCTTAATATTTCTCTAATTGAAAGAAATAAGGGCTAAACATTTTTTGTGAAAGAGTCCAAAACATTAATTTGGGGAGGGAGAGAGGGAGGGAGTAAAACTATAAGCAAGGGTAGGCGGGGTGCTTACGGGGAGAGAAAGGTAGCTCATGGTTCCGTGAATGAGGGCTGTTATTAGCAGGGAGAGAACAACGTTGAAGCCGATCCGGCAAAGCCCCGCGAACGTCTCCGATGGATAAATGATGCCGTCGTTGTCTAGGTCGAAGAAGGCGGCGTGTTGTTGAAGGACGCTCATGTTGTTGTGCTTCCTCCCGTGCGTCCCGTTCGGGTGCTCCGCGTCCACCGCCACACACCCCCTTGCCAAATCTGATCGAGAAAATTTATTTCGAAACGACCATAAAATAATATGTGAAATTATGTACGACGTTATATGTATCAAAAAAGTATTGAACCCCAACCCCAATATCCTGCCAGTGCCAGTACTAGCCCAAATAGTAGGCTAGAGTATCGTCTAGCACTAAAACTTAAGTCATTTCTCTATATAGCTAGAGTCTGGGTATCGCCCCGGAGTCCATAGCGTAGGCTAAGAGCCTAAGACTCACCTTTCAAATAGGTGAACTACTCCAACCGGGAAAATTTATATATTCCCTCAATTTCACAAAATAATGTCACTTTCACTTTTCACTTCTCTAATGTAACATTTTTAAATCAATCTATCACACCATGCATATCTACTTCATACTTATCAATAATATGCTCATTAGTCATCACATCCTAAATATTTTGTAGCTCACATTCAATAACAAATTAAAAATTTAACTACTAACTTCGGTCATTAAAACATTTCCAGTACGTTTAAAAATTGGCGTGTTTTAAAAATGTGTAATTTTGGTATAGAATATATGAGTAATAATTAGAAAATAACATTAGAATTACATATTTTTAAGTCACACATTTTTTTCAAAAAGGAGTTTTTTTTGGAACAGAGATGATACAATATATACATTTGTTAAATTTGTCATCAAAAGTAAAAAAAAAACAGTGTGGAATGGAGGGAGTATAAATCAAAACCATATGAAGAAAAATATAAGAAAAGAAAATCTGAGGTGAATTAATTACAGGGTTTAGGAATGGACTCATCGAGATCGGTGCGGACGCGGCGCTGCATGGTGACCGGAGCGAGAGGCGCCTCCGTGGACAGGGCGGAGTTGCGGTCGGCAGTTGCAATCTTCTCCATATGTCTTTTAAAATCGGTGAGGGTGAATGGCAATTAATGAAGGGAATCGAGGGATGGATGTAAAGAGAAATATAGTCCGGATTTGGGCGTTATATTAATTAAGTGAAAAATACAAGGGCGGGATGGGAAATTGGTGGCAGGCATGCATGCACACCGCCTCACTTGGCTGCTCTATTTTCGGCCACGTGCCAATATATAACGTGTGACACGGTTATATTCTCACATCACATCAAATATGCCACAAAATATGCACCGGTTTTTGACATGGTATAATTATACTTACTCCCTAGTCCCTCCAAATTTTTATTCTCACTTCACGTTTTTCGTCAAGTTTTTAAAATTTTAAACACAAATTATGAAATAAATATATTAAATTGGCATGTAAAATTAATCTTAATATGTTTATTTTGAGATAGAGTTTTCAAATATTATTGTGATGTAATCTGTATATCTATATACAAATATTAACAGTCAGTGTTTCACATTGGAGATCGTGAAATAGGAAAGTGATAACAAAATTTATGTACAGAGAAAGTAAAAAGTGTTTCTGCATTTGATAAAAAGTGTTACTTGGAATAGATCAAGACAAAAAGAAGGACACAGTTATATAGTATATGGAGAATGAGGAACAAATTTATACACCAAAAAAGTGCGCTCTATAAAGGAAGCTATAGAATATGTTTGTCACTACACTAGTAGTTACTTTTCTTACAGGAGAATGATGTAATAGCAGTGAGCAAAACAGTTGTATTCCCTCCGTCCCAAAAAGTTTGTTACGTTTAGAAAAAATTGCGTTTTATAAAGTCCATTACATTTCTATTAAAAAACCACTTTTACCCCTTACTTTTTCATACCCTACCTATCACATCATAGCTTTTTTCTAATAATCTACCCAACACATCCTACTTTTACCCATCACATCAAGGGTATTTTTGGAAAGTCAATACCAAAATATCTCTCCCTTAATTTCCAAAAAAGTCAAACCGTCCCATTCTTTTTGGGACGGAGGGAGTATTATTTTGATGAGGTGGTATGAAGGTTGTGCTTTATTTGTGCGAAAAAAATATTCTTAACACCTCTTGTTTTGTAGAATTTTTGGCGTAATTTTTTAATATATTAATTTTATTTTTTTATTAATATATAAATTTATAAATAAAATATTTTTTAAAGGTCAAAAGGTATTATTTCATAATTCCCAATTTATAATGAAAATTGGGATGGATGAAGTATTTGCAAATTTTCTTATTACCCACTCGACAAATTGGGCCTTAACTTTCAATGAATACGCATTTGAGATCAGCCCAATTCCAAAGGGCTCTCGAATCTCGCTCATATCAACGCCCTTCCCGGGGGAGGCACAATCTCCGATTCCGAAACCACCTTTTTGAGTCGGGAACCAGAGATCTATAATCCGCAAATGGCGACCGAGACGGCAGCTGAAACAGTCGATGCGCCGGCAGGTGCGGTGGTGGTGGACGCGCCGCCGTCCAAGCAGCAGCACAAGTTGGAGAGGAAATGGACTCTCTGGTTCGACAACCAGTCGAAGCCTAAGCAAGGCGCTGCCTGGGGCAGCTCTATGCGCAGAGTCTACACTTTCGACACCGTCGAAGAGTTCTGGTGGTATAACTCCTGGATCCTGAATCTCCTTCATTGTGTGATCCTATCAATCATCTTCCAGTGATTTGTTTTAATAGTTGAACGTTATTTCGCATTTTCTGAATTTTTCTTATACTGACGAAACGTTTCTATGAAAATTGATAGTTTTCATATTCAGCTTCTTATCGTAGTAATGTTATTTCGGAGCTCTTTGAACATTGAAATGTTAGATTCATCTATTTTCACTGCGTCAGGGGGATATAGTAAATTGCTTTTGTTTCAAAATTGCTGATTATTAATTGTTTAAATGCTCAATTGCACACGTTTAAACAGGATTAGTGTGTTTTTTTAAGCAGCTTGTACGAACAGATTTTCAAGCCCAGCGAGGTAACTGTAAATGCCGACTTTCATTTGTTCAAGGCTGGGATTGAACCAAAGTGGGAAGATCCTGAGTGTGCCAATGGAGGCAAGTGGACGATCGGCATCAACCAAAAGACACACCTTGACACCATGTGGCTTGAAACAGTAATATATATTGGATGGAACTTTTTTCCTCCATATTCTAGTTTTGTGGACAATCAGTGCTTTACAATTCTATTTTTGGTGTGTAGTTGATGGCTTTGATTGGCGAGAAATTTGATGAAGCCGAGGAGATATGTGGAGTGGTTGCCAGTGTGCGTCCGAGGCAGGACAGACTTGCTTTGTGGACCAAAAATGCAGCCAATGAAGCTGTTCAGGTTTGAGTGCTTGCCAATTTATTAATTTAAAAAACAATGCCTTCATATTGGTTTCGTTTCTGCTTATGTTAGATCAGTGAGCTTGCATTACTGCGGTTGCACATCCCATATTCCCCGAGAACTTTATCTGAAAGATTGTATTTGTGCTTTTTTTGTTTTGTGGGAAGGATTACAAAAAAAAAGACTGTGTCCTACTGTCCTTAAAAGTGTTGACATCATTTATAAGTGATTATGAAAAATCATCAATGAGATAAATGATGTGCACTTACGGTCCCCAAATTGTGTAAATTTGGTGACCAAAACACTGTCTAGAATGTATATGGGGTCATTTACACTGTTTTTTTCTTGGCATATAATATGTTCTAAGATTTACTTCTGGTCTAGGACTAGTACGAATGGTTTCATAAAAATAAAGTCTTTTGAAGGGCATTTTTGTATGTTTGGAAAAATAAAAAAAGTTAAGTGGAATTTTGGGAAGCTTATGGAAGGTCATATAGGTGTGATTGTTGCATGTCTATTGTTTTTCAGTACTAGATAGTATTTGCAGCCTCAATTCATTTTATAGGTAGGATAAGCTAACCAAATAATGAAAAACACATCCATTTCTTTTCAATTGGATTATTGGACAATTAAGCCAGGTAACTACATCCTTGACAATTAAATGTACAACTCTTTTTTTTCTGTTTTCTATTTTCTATTTTCTTTTTCTTTTTTTCCCACATGATGTGCATATTTCCTGGGCTATTATGCACCTACTTTATTAAATCTGAATGTACTGTCATTTGAAACATTATTGGGCCGCATACGGAATTTAATTGCAAGTCCAACTGATAGAGAATCTTGCAATATGAGGTTTAACTAAATTAGTTTCCATTGAGTACCTTTCCAAAGTTACCCATTCTCGATTTCTCGGTGTTCTAATCCTTTTTTTTCCTTCTTGAATTGTCCCTTATTAGAGTTGACTAATATTATGTGACTGCAGATGAGCATTGGGAGGAAATGGAAAGAGTTACTTAATGTAACCGACAAGATAGCCTATAGCTTCCATGTAACTTCTCAACTATACACTAGAGCTTCATTCTTGCTTTGCTTCTCTATTAAACCTTTTTCCTTATTCTTCCCTTTCTCATCATTGCAGGATGACTCTAAAAGTAGATCAACTAAAAGCCGTTATAATGTGTGAAACTTCAGCATCCTGTGAGAATACAATGGCATTACTGTCAAGTTAGGTACTGAAGAGAATGCACACTTGTAGCCTTCACTTTGTAACCATTTCTTGAAGGTTTTGACTTGCAACCTGTTTATGTAAGCTGTTTTGTTCTCGTTTATGATTGCGGCCTTTTGAGCCTGGTTTACGGTTGTCAGCATGGTTAGCAGAACTCCAAAACTTTTTTTTACGGCTTTCAAAGTGAAACATAAAAATCAACTTTTCTGAACTCTACCAGGCACTACTAATGGGTTATGGATATGGTTCTCTTGTTTAGGCATGGTTGTGTAAGCATCCTAAACAAGCAGCCCCTGAAATTTAGTGGCCACCACCTTGATGACAACCGTTGTCGCGACTATCGTCAACCGAAACTGCGAGTGTTGTTTACCACCCAATGTCCAATAATTACCACCCCATTGTGGCCAAACATTGTTGTCGGCCTGCCACCGGGTGCACCACCAATCAGTTTACATCCGGGTGTACTTTTCTCATTCCCATTATGGCAAACTTGTAGTTAAAAAATGTTTTTGAATGAACACTACTTTGTTTCATAATGAACATATTTTGAAATAATATTACATTATTTCAAAATAACACCAACTTGAGCAGGCTTTGGAATGGAAACTGCAATTAAAAATGAATATTTTGTTGATTCGAAATGAATATTCATGTGTACCTAGCTTTACGTACACCCAATTGTATGGTATACATTTTCATGGTTTTGTGTTTGGTAACTTTTAAGCTCGAGTCACAAAATCTTTGATCAAAACAATACTTTTGGATCTTAATTAAAAAACAAGACGAGTTAAATTTTGACGAGTATAGGTGAATGGCGAAAAAACTAGAGTAAAACATTGAAAATATATTAAAATAGAACTTTTATGTTTTTATTTCCGAAATAAGAATTAAAATGTATTCACATTACCAAATATGATTTTGTACATTACCAAAAAATATAGTAATGTGCACATGTACAGTGCCACATTACAACAGTGCAAAATCTTATTTCGGGAATAAAAACATGTAAATCTTATTTTGGTATTTTTATGTTTTAATCCTAGTTAAGGTGATTTCTATAAGTGAATGTTGTTCCAATTTGACAATAATGTTGTGAGAAATCGGGCAAATCACTACTCTCTTCATCTGAATTTAATTTTATCTTTTCTAAACACACTTTATAAAAAAGAAATAAGAGCAAATTGATTTTTATGAGTTTATAAAAACCGTGAAACTATTGTCTTTTATTGAGATGACCAATGTTTTTATTATCTTTAAGAAGTGTTCGTGAAATTGAGTTTATATGACTAAAAATTATGCCTCTTTGAGCTATTTATGGTGCTAGTGAAGCAGAAGCTTTGGCTGTTAAGGAGACTCTTTGTTGGATCAAGGGTAAAGGATGGATTTGTCATTTTTAAAATGGTCGGCAAAGTAGTAAATTCACTTAATGCTTCAGATCCAAATCGATCTTATTTTCATTCCATAATTAGTGATTGTAAAAATCAATTTGCCTCGTGTGGGAGAGTTTTCACTTTTTTTCCGTTCTGTTAATGAGGTGATGCATTTGGTAGTGAGTTGATTGCTAATATTCTTGATTTCAAAAAATGTATATTTGGTTTTCTTATTCCTCTTTTTTGGTATGAAGTGTGTGTGTGTGTGTGTGTATATATATATATATATATATATATATATATATATATTCAATTGAGTTTTTAATGAAGTATATAAACATATCTATTCAATGAGTTTATGATGGATACTACCTTGATGGGGTGTACATAAATTCGAAAGAGCTAGTTAGAAACAAGATTATTGTGTCAAACACAATATATTCTAAAGGGCTATTTTTAAAACTAGATCCTATATTTTAATACTAACCTCCCCATCCT